TAAAAACTACTTGCGATGGTTAACATTGAGCCCTGACATCCACGCCAACCTTTGTGAGATTATAGTAGCCCAGGGGGTCTGGTTTGGTTTTGGAGTTTACCGGTTGAGGTGTGGCTAGTGCTGATACTGATACGTCTGCGTTTTCCTGTGGGTGGGCGATCATCCTCGGACTCGCTGTCAGAATCTAAGCCGCTTCCTACTCGCCGTCCTCATCTTTTTTTCCCCTCAAGCCTTTATAAAGCCTGTGACGCGGTTAGATTTCTCCTGAAAGCCATTTTTTCCGTATTAGCCAAAGAATTCTAGGTAGAATATTGGTTGCTTGGCAACAGTACCAAATGTCAATCAACCACAGGAAGAATTTACAATACAACTAAAGGAGCCGTCGAAATGACGGCTGTGGGAGTTCGAGGTAAAACTAACCATATTTATTTTTTACGTTTTATTTTTATTAAAATAACTATGTGAAAATGAAGGAAATATAGAAACAGGAAAAGTTAGTTAATATGAGCAACATATGATTAATGTAAATAAAGTTATTTCCCTTTAAAATCGGAGAACTGTCCAAATGACGGCCTTGGGAGTTCTAGTGTAAAACTCTAACTTTATCACAAAAGTTAGCAAATAAATGTTGTTTTTCCTTTCATTAAAGGAAATGGAAGCCATCAAACAATGCAGAACAAATATATCACTGAAAAAAAAAAATATATAAAAAGAAAAAAATAAATAAATCTGAATCTACCGTTTTCCTTCATCTGCACGTTTCCAGATCCTCCTGTGTGACTCATGTGACAGCGGCTACCACACAGCCTGCCTCAGGCCTCCTCTCATGATCATCCCAGACGGAGAATGGTTCTGCCCGCCCTGCCAGCACGTACGTTCATGTCAGATTCCTCTGCTAACCAATTATCTCACAACAAAGGGGATCAGAATCTTTAAAAAAAACATTCTCATCTGCAGAAGCAGCTCTGTGAAAAACTGGAGGAGCAACTCCAAAACCTGGATGCTGCCTTGAAAAAGAAAGAACGGGCCGAGAGGAGGTGAGTCTCTCTCTGATCACTGCGAAAACGGATCAAAGAAGCATGAAAATAGAATAAAATACTTCAAAATGTAAAAGACATTTGGGACAACATGAGAGAAGTTCATGAAGAAACCTTGATAAAAGGTAACAGTGAACAGAGACTGATTTCAGAGGTGTGTGTTTCCTGCTGTAGAGAGAACAGTAGGTAGCGTTTTTTATTTATCAGGGGCAGGGGCGGATTTAGGAAATCTGGGGCCCTAGGCAAAGACAGGCAAGGGGGCCCTCTGAATTGAGAAGACAACACATAAA